ATATATAATATATATAAATATATAAAATATATGGAAAATTGATGTGGGTACTCAAATGAAAGGTCTCTCTATGAGTGTAACATCAAAATGAGTTTATATCTTTAAAAATATCATAAATTGACAAAATACAATATAATTTCTTAATTATTGACATTTTTAAAGATATAAGCTCATCTCGATGTTACACTCATCAAGAGCTTTCATTTGAGTACCCACATGAATTTTTTATATATTTTATATATTTCACAAATATCAGAAATATCATATATATATATATAATATAAAATATATGAAAAATTCATGTGGGTACTTAAATGAAAGGTCTCGATGAGTGTATTATCAGAATGAGCTTATATCTTTAAAAATGTCAATAATTAAGAAATTATATTGTATTTTGTCAATTTATGATATTTTTAAAGATATAAACTCATTTTGATGTTACACTCATAGAGAGACCTTTCATTTGAGTACCCACATGTATTTTGATATATTTTTCATATATACACATATATATTATATATATATAAATATATGAAAAATTGTTGTGGGTACTCATATGAAAGGTCTTGATGAGTGTAACATCAAATTGAGCTTATATCTTTAAAAATGTTAATAGTTCACAAGATACAAGGTCATTTCTTGATTATATATCTACAGATAAAGAATTTTTGAATGCAGACTAAATACTTATCATAATAAATTGACTATCGGTGAGAATGATATGAAACTTTGAAAAGGCACAAATTCAAGTCAAGACCTTTGCGATGACACTAAATTTCACTAAAAAAAATCAATTTCATCATATTAATATCCTGGAGACAAAATTTTTCTTAATCTCTTAATAATATAGATAATAAATATGACCAATAATTTTTCTTCAAGAAGAAATAGTCGATAAATTGTACAATGATAAGTAAGAAGAAACTATTTTTTCAAAGGATGTCAAGGTAGAGAGCAGCTTTACTCATTATTTAAATGTATAGATAACAACCCTTATTGATTTTGTGGGCGGTGGATGAATATGGCAGTCGGGTGGATGTCACTCTGTTCAGAATGTACATCTACTCTAAAATACTTAGATTTTTGTTAATATCTGCTGTTTTTTGTATCGGTAGGTCTTAAAATTTTCCCACTACACCCCAAATAATATAACAAATAACAATAATTGTTATCTTAGGCTTCTGCTCTGAAGATGAGGAGAGATTGGTGCGAGATTTGTTTAGGGGCTACAACAAGCTTATCAGACCAGTTCAAAATATGACTGAGAAAGTTCATGTGAGATTTGGTCTCGCATTCGTCCAGCTCATCAATGTGGTACGTAATTTTCTGGGTAAATTTAATTATCTGAGTAAAATATTAAAATAATTATTGATTCATTGAATTTAGAATGAAAAAAACCAAATTATGAAATCGAATGTATGGTTGAGATTCGTATGGACGGATTATCAGCTGCAATGGGATGAGGCTGATTACGGTGGTATCGGAGTGCTACGTTTACCTCCAGATAAAGTTTGGAAACCTGATATTGTTTTATTTAACAAGTAAGATATTTTATCATCAATATTTTTATTTATTATTATTATTATTATTATTGTTATTATTTTATTTCATAATTAAAAAAAAATTAATTTTAACTAAATTTTTTATTAATAAAAATTGAACTAATATAAAAAATAAAAAAATTCTAAATTATTAATCAATATTAACTTTTTTTATAAAAGTTATTTTTAAACTCTTGAACTCTTTTTAACAAACAAAAGCTTGGACTCTCGGGACCTTCTGTAAATTTAGAAGTAAATTTAGAACACTTGCAAAACTTTGAGTACTCATTCGTTACATTCAAAGTACACAAGACTTGAGAAACTCTGATTGGATACTAAAGTTTCAATTTAAATAATTATTTTTTAGACTGAAGAGTTGAAACTAAAGAATTTTATTTTGATTTTTAATCTGCTAATTAATTAAAATTTGCTGTTAATAGCAAAAGAAAAAAGGTAATTATTTACAATTGGGGTCAAGCCTATTTTGTCCCATGTTTGGCCATAGAAATTTTTTTTTTTTAAATTGTTCGTTTTTCTATGTATTTTTCAAAAAAAAAATACATCAAAAATAAATAAAATAGAAATTTTATCCAAAAACATGAAAGCCAATATTTTTTCCAACTTTTAAAGGCAAAAAAATTACCGAAGTCTTTATTTTTTCCTTTCATGACATTTTTTATCATAAATGCGTCGTAAAAACAAGTAGAATAAAAAAAAATTTTCTTAAATGTTAATTTTTCACCTAATTATGGCCCAAAATAAGATTGACCCCACTTGTTAATAATTACTAAAAAAAAATAGTAATAAAATTCATTTTAAACTAAGTATTTACACGCTTAAATTCATTTAAAAATATAAATCCGCGGAAAACTGCGAAATAGAAGAGAAAATAAAAAAAATAATTAGTTTTACTTTCTATATAAATAATTAAAAGTGATTTTACATAAATAATCATAATAATAATAAATTTACAGTGCTGATGGCAACTACGAAGTCCGTTATAAAAGCAACGTGCTAATCTACCCAAACGGTGAAGTCCTATGGGTCCCACCAGCGATTTACCAAAGCTCCTGTACAATCGACGTGACATACTTCCCCTTCGACCAGCAAACCTGCATAATGAAATTCGGCTCTTGGACGTTTAACGGCGACCAAGTCTCTCTGGCTCTGTACAACGACAAGAACTTCGTCGACCTATCAGACTACTGGAAGAGCGGAACCTGGGACATAATCAGCGTCCCGGCATATTTGAACACTTACCAAGGAGACTTTCCCACGGAAACCGACATAACTTTTTACATAATAATCCGCCGCAAAACACTATTCTACACAGTGAACTTGATCCTTCCAACAGTTTTAATCTCCTTTCTCTGTGTCTTAGTATTCTACTTGCCAGCCGAAGCCGGAGAAAAAGTAACTCTAGGCATAAGTATCCTTCTTTCTTTGGTCGTGTTTCTGCTGCTGGTCTCTAAAATATTACCGCCGACTTCTCTTGTACTGCCTCTTATTGCCAAGTATCTTTTATTCACCTTCATAATGAACACCGTCAGTATTCTGGTGACTGTAATAATAATAAACTGGAACTTCCGAGGCCCCAGGACTCACAGGATGCCTCAAATGATTCGTAAAATATTTCTCAAGTACTTGCCGATGATGCTGATGATGCGCCGTCCCAAGAAGACAAGGCTCCGCTGGATGATGGAGATCCCCAATGTTACTCTTCCGACCTCGACTTATTCCGGAAGTCCTACGGAAAATTTACCCGGAGGAATGACCAAGGCTAAGATGGAAATTATGGAACTCTCAGACTTACATCATCCCAATTGTAAAATTAATCGCAAAGCGCATCACACTGGTACTTCGAACACTGCCACTTCCGGACCTGGAACTGGAACTGCCGGCGCTGCTGGTGGGAACAACGAAGGTGGCGCTGATAGACGCGGTTCCGAGAGTTCTGAGTCCGTTTTGCTGAGCCCAGAGGCCACTAAAGCTACTGAAGCCGTTGAGTTCATTGCTGAACATCTTAGAAATGAAGATCTTTATATTCAGGTAGGTTTTTTGGTTACAAATAAAAATACTTTGCTTGAAAATTTATTTATTATTTAGAGGAAAAATTTCTTTTGAAAAACATGGACATTTTTCTAACAAAAAATTAATTTGCTGTAAATTTTCAAAATAATTTTAATTTTTAGCTGAAGAAATGAAAATTTTTCTCAGTAACTATATTCTTGAAAAAAAAATTTGGTAAATATTTACAAGTGGGGTCAACTTTTTTAAATTTCATTTTTTTGAACGAAATTTTTATTTGATTTTTTCGAAAAATACATAAAAGAATGAACAATTTAAAAAAAAAAGTTGATTATCACAAATTGACAAATTTTCAAAAAAATTTATACATTTTTTAGAAAATTGTGATATCCAACTTTCTTTTCTTTAAATTGTTTGTTTTTTTATGTACTTTAAAAAAAAAAAAATATATCAAAATCATCAAAAAAAAATAAAATAGAAATTTTATTATAGCAAGGAAGCTATCAAAATCTTTATTTTTTTCTTTCACGACATTTTTTATTATAAATGTACCGTTAAAACAAGCAGAATCAAAAAAAAATTTGAAAATGTTAATTTTTCACTTAGATATGGTCAAAAATAAGGTGGGCCTCACTTGATAAATAGTAATTACTTAAAATTTTGATGAATACTTATGAATTTTTATCAAAAAATTTTTTTCTTAAATTTACAGAATTTTTTTGAACAAAAAAGTTACTGTGAGTAAAATTTTGATTTCTTCAGCTAAAAAATTAAATTGTTGAAAATTTCCAATTAATTAATTTCTTCTCTCATTTTTTGCAAAAGAAATTTTTTCTCTCAATTTATGTGAATTGTTTTCTAAGACAGCAATTGATTTAAATAACTTGTTAATTTTCCAGACACGAGAAGATTGGAAATACGTCGCAATGGTGATTGATCGTCTTCAATTATACATTTTCTTCATCGTTACAACAGCTGGGACAATTGGAATATTAATGGACGCTCCTCACATTTTCGAATACGTCGATCAAGATCGAATAATTGAAATTTACCGTGGAAAGTAATTTCTTCATAAGAATACTTTAAATTTATTATTTTTAATACTTTAATAGATAAATTAAAATTTACTTACAAATAATGTAATTATTTGTCACGCATATCATTGTCTGGAAAATTTTAATTGTAAATTAATGTCTTCTTGAAAGTCTTCGAGTCTTTAGTCGAAAATTGTGATAAAACAATTTATTTCTTCACCAAAAATAATAGATATAAAAAATTGTTAATGTAAATTACTTTTTATTGTTGTCATATTTAAATATTATATTTAATAATTTGTTATAAAATTGTTTACTACACTAGCTAGGTAAAATTTTATTTTAATAGCGTGACATTTAAGATAAATAATTGTTACATAAAACCCAAAGAAATTTATGACAAGTCTTCCTTATATAAATACAATAATTAGATAATTAGAATGACAAATTTAAAAAAAAAAGTTCACAAAATTATGTAGAAAAATTTATTTAATGTTTTATTAATTGTTAATTAATTAAATTAAATTTTATATTTTATTATTTGTTAAGTGAAATAAAAATAGTTTTTATGCAATTTATTATTACTTATACATGCATAATTTATATAATCATAAATAAAATTTATAAAAATGCTCAATATAATTACAAGAAGAAAACACTTTCAGATGTTTTAAAGTCACAAATATGTAATAGTTAATATTTATTCATAGTCTGCTGATTATTTGCATTTTAGTTTATAGTAATAATAAGATAGTTAATAAACAAAATACATGAATTTACTATAATAAATATATTATATATGATATATGATAATAAACCGGCTTAAGTTAAAAAAAAGAATTTGTTTGTTGTAAAAAAGTTTTTAATTACGCTGCATATGCATCTGTGTTCAAGGAGTGGACATCAAAAATTTCTTTATCCTTCATTAAAGCTACTGATTTAATATAAGAAAGAAAAGCTCTTTTGGCTGATTGTTTCAGTTCTACATCTCTGGCAAGGAATGCTTCAAGTTGTCGGTGTGGAGATATTATATATTTATCATCAATTCTAAAATCAGAAAAAAAAAATATTAAAAGTAACAATTTTGATTACAGCTTGAAAAAATTGTATAATTAAAATTAAATCGAACTTACTTGACTTTATTAATAGGAATTTTTCTGGCAACTAATTTGTCAATCATTTTTATTTCATTAGGTGTTAATACTAAAAGTGATTGACCATCATCTTCAAATCTTGCCGTTCTACCGGCTCTGTGGATATATTGATCAGTATCTTCTGGACAATCCATTTGTACTACCCAATTAACATCAGGAAAATCTAAAATTGATAGTCAATAATTATTAAAAAAGTAACAATTGGCGTAAGTAAGATAAGTGTATTGAATAATTATATCTACTTACCTAGTCCACGTGAAGCAATATCTGTACAAAAAAGTGCAGCTTTGTTTGTTGTACAAAACTTTTCATAAATTTTCATTCGTCTCAATTGATGCATCGTACCATAAAGTGCTGTGATAGGAATTCCGGGACGTAATTTACAGAAACATTCAAACATGTATTTTGTTTGTTTGCAAGTTGAGAAAAAGACAATTATTTTTTGCTGTGTATGCCTTTTTAGAAAAGACCAGAGCATCGCTACCTTGTTGTCCAAATTACAGACAGTGTAACTTTGTTTTAAATTATCTGGTGTAACGTACTTCATGTGCTCGTGAACAGAAATATATTGACGATCTTTTGATAAATTTAATCTAGCTAAATCTTTAACTGACTTGGTCTGAGTAGCGGAGAACAGCAACGTTTGTCTTTTTTTTGGTAAATGATCCATAATAGCATCAATATCATTTTGAAAACCTTGATCTAAACATCTATCAGCTTCATCAAGAACGAGAATTTTCAATGGATTGGTATCAAAACTTGCGTTTTCATCTAAATGTTGAAGAATTCTTCCTGGTGTTCCGATAACGATATTACAAGTTTCCATACGGTTCCTTTCAAATTTCCAATCTTTACCTCCTATAATTAAAGCAGCAGAAAAATCATGATGTCTTCCTATATTTCTTAAGGTCTCAAAAATTTGTAGAGCTAATTCCCGTGTGGGAGTTATTATCATTGCTCCTAGACGATCTTCCCTTGACCATAACTCACAATACAATAATTCTAGCACCTGAAAATGTATACGTTCATTAAATTATAGTACAATAATATTATAGTAACAATAAATAAATACCGGAATTAAAAAAGCAAGTGTTTTTCCACTGCCAGTTTTTGCTGCCCCTAAAATGTCGTACCCTTGAAGTGCTTTACCGATACATTGTCTCTGAATCTCTGATGGGACAAAATATTTAGATTCTTTCAATCCTTTCAATGTTTTGTCAGATATTGGGAAATCGGAAAATTTTTTTATTTTTGATTCATCGATCTAAAATTATATAAAAATGGGTTAATGTTTTGCAACAACATTAATACAGTTGTGATTGTAATAATAAAATAAAAAATTATGAATAAATTAATCGAACGTGTCGATTACGTGTAGTAAAATTTTTTTTCATTTTTTAAAATCACAACTCTGATTATCAAAAAAAAATAATAACCTCTTTATACTTAGACTTCAATATTTCAACTTTTTTGCTTTGAGGGATTGTTTTTTTCCTAGTAGCTGTTTTAAATTTTCTTCTTTGATTATTTGAATTTTCTCCTTTTTTTTTACTTTTATGTGATACGTTAGCCATTTTTTATTTAACAATATTCAAATGAACAAATATAAACATACCAGACGACAGGACACTTTGAGCACGTTTTTTTTTTTTTATATAAATGATTAACACATATGGCTGATTTACATTGGCTTTAAATCAGTTAGAAAGTTGTTATATTGACTGTAAGTAACTCAGTGGCATTCCAGGCGCATGATGTAGGGGTCATATCTGAGTGATCCGAACGGAAATGTAGCCAATGTAATTATTGTCAAGGAATTCAAAAAGTAACTTGCTCTTTAACAAGTTATATACATTTAATACTTCTTACATAACACTTAATGTATGTCAAATAATAGTAAATTCTATATGATAAAATACACACATTAAAACATTTAAATATCATATTTGTGAAAAAAATTAAACTGTAACCCATGAACTGTAACATTACAAAAGAACGACAATTGATCTGTCTTCTAAGTCTTTTAAGTCATAAGTAAGAAATTAGTTGTAAATTTTTTTAGGTATTAACTGGCGGTGGAGGAAATTTAAATTGTATAATCTAAATTCAAACACAACCTTTTTATTCTAAATAAGAATAATTCTTCTTGAAAATATTTATTGTTTTTATTTATTAAAATATATAAATATTGATTACTAAAATAAAACAAAAAATCGCTTATTTAATGGGAAATTATTTATTTTTCTTTATAAAGTAATTTTTTTTTTTTTTAATTTTATAAAATATTAAAAACAAACTGTTCTTTAACTTGTTTCAGCTTAAACTATTATTTATTTTTACACCTTCTCAACATTTATCAATGATTACGTTCTTGTCATATGAATATTATGAAACAAACAATTATTTTTTATATATATGTAACCTTTTTATTCTAAATAAGAATAATTCTTCTTGAAAATATTTATTGTTTTTATTTATTAAAATATATAAATATTGATTACTAAAATTAAACAAAAAATCGCTTATTTAATGGGAAATTATTTATTTTTCTTTATAAAGTAATTTTTTTTTTTTTTTTTTTAATTCTATAAAACAATTCTATTTTAATTCTATTAAAAACAAACTGTTCTTTAACTTGTTTCAGCTTAAACTATTATTTATTTTTACACCTTCTCAACATTTATCAATGATTACGTTCTTGTCATATGAATATTATGAAACAAACAATTATTTTTTATATATATGTAACCTTTTTATTCTAAATAAGAATAATTCTTCTTGAAAATATTTATTGTTTTTATTTATTAAAATATATAAATATTGATTACTAAAATTAAACAAAAAATCGCTTATTTAATGGGAAATTATTTATTTTTCTTTATAAAGTAATTTTTTTTTTTTTTTTTTTTTAATTCTATAAAACAATTCTATTTTAATTCTATTAAAAACAAACTGTTCTTTAACTTGTTTCAGCTTAAACTATTATTTATTTATACACCTTCTTAACATTTATCAATAATTACGTTCTTGTCATATGAATATTATAAAACAAACAATTATTTTTTATATCTATGTAATTAGAATAACATAAGAAGAAAAAATTATTCATTTAAATATAATTCGTTTAAATTTAGATTAAAGTTAAAAAAATATAGGAATATCAGATATAATAAGTAAGTTCAAAAATATTAGAAAATTAAAAAAAAAAGATGTTTTTGTTCTTTTAATATCGATAAATTTTGAGAAAGTTTATAAATAAATAATAGTTTAAGTTGAAAAAAATAAAAAACTGTTTGATTTTAATATTTTATATAATTAACAATAAATTACTTTATAAAGACAAATAAATAATTTCCCATTAAATAAGCTAAGCGATTTTTTGTTTTATTTTAGTAATCAATATTTGTATATTTTAATAAATAAAAACAATAAATATTTTCAAGAATAATTATTCTTATTTAGAATAAAAAGGTTGTTTTTGAATTTAGATTATATAATTTAAATTTCCTTCACCGCCAGTTACCTAAAAAAATTTACCTTACTGACAACTAATTTCTTACTTATGACTCTTAGAAGACTTAGCAGACTTAGAAGACAGATCAATTGTCGTTCTTTTGTAATGTTTCATGGGTTACAGTTTAATTTTTTTCATAAATATGATATCTAAATGTTTTAATGTGTGTATTTTATTATATAGAATTTACTATTATTTGACATACATTAAGTGTTATGTATGAAGTATTAAATGTATATAACTTATTGTTAGAGAGCAAGTTACTTTTTGAATTTCTTTACAATTATTACATTGGCTACATTTCCGTTCGGATCACTCAGATGACCCCCACATTTATACCAAGCTGATCGTAGAGTCAAGCTGAGGAGTAAAAGTTGAAGCGCAACAGCTGTATTAGTATATATCAG